GGCCGGGGGGGGGGGCCCTGCCGGCTTCCTCGCCGTGCCCCCCCCGCCCCTCTTTGCCTCGTGGCTCGGCTTGCCCGGGCCGCCGCCTGGGTGCGCTCGCGCTCTCCCTCTGTCTCTCCTCCCAGCGCTCCTGCCCATCCGCCTGGATACTCCCACCCACTCACTGTCCTCCCAGGCGAGACACACAGCAGGCGATGCAGGCCTCTGGCCCCTTCCTCGAGCCCCTTTCTTCCCTGCCCTTTTAACTGCTCCTTCACTTGTGTGTTTCTCAGGCCTCGTGTCTTCCCTGCCTCCCTTCTTCAAGCACTTTGCCTCTGGAAGTCCTGCCCTTTAGCTTCCTCCCTTCCTGTGAGCGCTTTCCAATTCTTCGGCTTCTGACATAGTCCCACAACTCCTATCCCTCGGGCTTGTGTGACATTTCCCAGGAGACCTTTTGTATACATCACATTCATTCCCCCCCCCCCCCAATATCTCATACGTAAATGTAGGAAACTGTAGCATTTGCTTGTTTACTTGATTTGTACCTTGCCTTTCTGCCCAATGGGGACCCAAAGTGATTTACATCATTTTTCTCATCTCCATTTTATCTTCACAAACAACCCCATGAAGCAGGTTTAGCTTTAGAGTATATGATGAATGGTCCAAGGTCAGCCCAAAAGTTTCCATGGCAGTTTGAATTTGCACTCAGGTCTCACAGATCCTAATTTGGCACACGAACCAAGACATCATACTGGCACTCACAAAAAAAGTCTGCTTAGTTATTTTTCTGCCCTGAGCGCATCAGCTGGACCTGGTTTCCAGAGCTCCTGGTGATTTCTTCTTCACGGTCGCAAGGTGTGGTGGGACTGTTGTGCTGCAGCCTCAGCATGAGAGTGGTTAGATTTGAGCCTTAGAGACCAACTGGATTTTCAGGGTAATTTTATGACTCTCTTGTTACACACCCACACAGCTACCGCCTGAAACCTGAGAGTGATAACTGTAGCTTGAGTCTTTTTTCCACTGTGAGTGCCCCTCTCTTTTACAGCATCATAAAGCAAGCAAACAATGGATGCACCCCAGCAAGAGGAGCAGAAGCGCACAGCAGAAGGATCAAAGGCACCTGGCATTTTCCAGCTGGCTAATCAAGAATTTGAAGACAATGAGGTACTCATGCCTGTGCATGTCATCCACTCACTTGCTCTGCTTTTGTATTTGACGCTGCAGGCTGTGGCCGCCGTATACTTTGTGTAGTTGAAATCCCTGCTAATTCCACCTTTCTACACAGAGAAAATGGACTAACTCCAGGAATATTTGAATTGCTCTCTACAGTACCCTTGTTGTCTCTACAATATCTTTTGAGAGCTGGATGATCATAAGAACATAAGGGAAGCCAGTGTTGGGTCAGGCCAATGGCCCATCCAGTCCAACACTCTCTGTGTCACACAGTGGCCAAAAATATCAGGTGCCACCAGGAGGTCCAGCAGTGGGGCCAGGGCACTAGAAGCATCACTTTCCCCAGAGTTCCTATCTATACCTTGTGGCTTATAGCCACTGATGGTCCTCTGCTCCATATCCCTTTTGAAGCCGTCCATGCTTGTAGCCGCCACCACCTCCTGTGGTAGTGAGTTCCAAGTGTTAATCACTCTTTGGGTGAAGAAGGACTTCCTTTTATCCGTTCTAACCCGACCGCTCAGCATTTTCATGGAGTGGGCTGAATTCCATCTACCCTTCTCTGTCCTGATCACCTACTTGCTACTCTTCCATTCGCTTTCGCTTACAGACTAAACAAGTGGGGACCCACCAGGACCTTGTGGGGGGGGGGGCAGCCATCCCATTTGCCTCACCATTGCTTTCCCCCTCCATACTGTCATTCCTTCTCTCTCTTTCTGTTTCTTTCTTTCCAATTCAGCCATGGCTACTCTCCC